TAGCGACACTAATATGTTTGCGCCAACTAGTACCCCCTTTTTTTTCTCGCTAACCCCTCAAGTTTGATTACAGTTCTTAGTATTCTGTTATTTTTGCGTGCATATCTTTTTTTAAATATTAATATGCATGTCCGTTCCCTGGTGCAATACCCCTTGCGGGTCCTCGAGAAAAATAAATAGTGATTATGATGATTAAGAGCATTCTGTAAACGTGAAGTTTTATTTTAAAGATTTATAACTTTATTATTTTTTTCTTCATCTAAGCCGCAAAGTTTGGTGTTAGTACGCTGATGTTATAGCTTTTTAAAAATATATTTCTGGTTAGTTTGTTTAGCATTTTCTTTTTTTAATACGTGCAACTTTACCGCGGTGATCCGTAGAACACAGACTTTCAGGATGCTGCCCGTGTGCGAGCGATCGGGGTACGGCCATTTAGTGAGCTTTATGATGAAGAAATGTAAACGCTGGAGAGTAGATGACTTCCTCTCCAGCGTTCGCTCTGCTAAAGTGAAAAGACGTGAAAGGAGTTTTCCCTGTACTCTTAGCACACTTCGTGTCTTCTGTGATTCCCTTATTTTTTTATTAATAATTCCACTGAGTGACGTTGAATATGCAAAGAGAGAAAACAATTAAACAAAAAAAGGATACAATTATTTTAAACATCGACGCGCTAACTCGCTTTGAGTCCTCGAAAACGGTTTTTGCTGAGATTTCCGGACGGCATGCATGTAGGGGCGTCGCGTACAAAGCGCAAAGCCGGAACGCTGCGTGTCGCAAGAGGAGGGAGTACAAGAGGGAGAGGGTGAACAAATCCCTCAATGCCTGCGAACAATCCCGGAGCGGCGACAAAAGCGGCCCGCCCCTGGGCAGCCCAAACTGCGGATCTAATCAGTCGGGCTGTCACTTGGTTCCGGGTAGCGCACAAACGAGAAACACTTTCTCCTCTTCCCCAATTCCCCGTCCTCCACTTTGCGGAAAACGGTTCGGGACGACAAAGGAAAGCCTAAATGAATTTTCGTGGTGGGAGGAAGAAGCCCTTTGTCGCCCGTTCCTGCTATGATCCTCCCGCGGAACACGTTCACTGACTCTTGGTTCTTTCGGGTATCGTTTTTCTTTCGCCCATCTGGCAGGAAACAGTCGTGCGCGCACGATGGAATCGGAAAGTATCCGATTGCATAAATTTATTGAGAAGTGGTCTATGTATAATATCTCTTTTTTTGTTTTTTTTGTTTTTTGTTTTTTCATTTTGAACAGCAATGTTGCTCTGAGCAGTTATTCGTACTGTCCTTGAGCGAAATAGTACATACTCTGAATGCGCGATTGTGTCTATATTTTGATTTGTATCGAGAAAAACGAAATCTGCGATATTTCGCGGCTTTATAATAATAAAGAAACCCCAAATCTTGAGCCTTTGTATCGTACATTGTTATGGGCTGGGGGACGGACAGGCTGGAGACTGAGTTTCGGCTATAAGATGTTTAATGAGACATGATTTGATGAAAGGGTTCGATAATAAATCATATTCTGCCTCTGCCGCGCGTGTCCGCACGAGTCCCCCTTTTATAGCCGGGATGACGTCGCGATATTGCGTCACCAACGGGATCCTGACGTGATTAGAGATGGCTGTTGGTATCGATGAAAATGAGGTCCAGCAGCCCCTGGCTCGGAGGTTTATGGCTTCGCAGCAACAGCTCCTTCCGACGTTGGACAAAGAGGAAGACGAAGGCCCATTGACGCCGGTGTGACTTCGGCAGATGTTGAAAGGTCTTGGTTCCAGGCCTTCGACAAGTTTTCCTTCGACGAGTTGCCGTATGACGAATTGGCCTATTGGACGAATGGGCCGCCAACGAGTTGGCCGTCGACGAGTTGGCTTTCGACGAGTTGGCTATAGAGCCTTGCGAACCGTCCCTGTACGTGAACCGTTGCACGGCCTCGCCGGGGTTCGAAACATAACAACGTGGGGTCTAGGACATTTCGGTGTAGGACATTTCGGTGTAGGAACTTTCGGTGCGGACTTCTCGGTGTGCGGCCTTTTCGGTGTAGGGACTTTTCGGTGCATGGACATTTCGGTGTATGGATATTTCGGTGCATGGTCGTTGAACACAAAAGGGACACCCAAGATTTGGTTTTCTCGCCCTTGTAGTATTTATCTTTCGCCCCCAAGTTGATACGAAAAAGTAATTCTTCCTCTGTTCAGCTTTGTTTCCTCGAACGCTACAGAGAACGCTTCGGCATTCATAAGAAACTTTTCCCTCCTTTTGGTTCATTCTTTGTAGTTGACAGAACAATGGACCTTTCTGCTTCTCTAACTTTTTGTGTTCTGAAGAGAGCCATCTTTTTTTAGAAACGGGGATAAACGCTAGTCTTATCGCCTCCGACAAAGGTTGATAACCGTGCGCCTCTTTCGGGAAGCCGGGATCGGGGAACTTGTGACGAAAAGGGTCAACAATGCCAGAAACTTGCCTTACCTTAGCCTTACACTTTGAGAACTCGATGTTATATGATAAGCATCTGATATTTGCGTGTCGCCTCGTCGTATACCAACCGGTGTTGGTTAAAACGAACAAGGAGGTGACTTTGTTGGTCTGATTCGCCTTTAGCGGAAAGATGAAACTTTATACGGGCTTCAGGACAAAGCCATGGACGAAGCTCAACACGATGCTTCGAAGAACGGGGCCGCCGCCAGGAGTAGTTATAGGTAGGACTCCGTGTTTTCGGATATATCCGAAAAACTCTGAAAAGCACTCGCCGGCTAAAATTTTCGTTGATTCGGATTTATCTGAAAAACTCCAATATCGAAGTCAAAGCACAAAAAATATTAGTTCTAATATAAAACGGTACCAAGAGCGCTCACCAGTGCCCTTCCAAAACTTGTATAATTGCCAAAAGAGGCTCATCTCGTCAATATGCGTGCCACCAGCGACAATAGCTGACGAAATATGACGGCACCTATTACAGCAAGCTCTGAGATAGAGTTCCTAACAACCGTGATTGCACCAGCTGTAAAGTTCGTGCAATAAAAGTGAATTTCGTTGTCTTCATCCGTCGAAGTGTGAATAGCTTCTTTTTATTTTGTTCACCATTTTCGGAGATCTGGAAATTGACCAGAAATAAAATTCGATAAACTCGTAATTTCTGAGAATTCAGTATTTACCGAAAATAAACGCCGGTAAATGCCAGATTTTTGAGAAAAGAAAACACAAAAAAACCTCCAAATTTGACGAAAGCTAAACTCCGAAAGCATGGAATCCTAGTTATATGGTATTCGCGACTCCAGCGACCTATAGGGGGCGCTACCACCGAACAAACATGGCGGCTGAGTCCAGGTCGCGTCGGCTCGGCCGGGCCACCTGAACAGGTGGCGCGTTCAATTTAACAGATTTTCTTTTGTTTAATGCCCAATTTTATTGGTATTTGAACTGAGACGGTTAAGTGTAGCCGGTGCACATAAACTCGCAGACCATAGTTTTGTTTTCCCGGTGTTTTTTTTTTTGTTCTTTTCATGTCAAACTGCCGTTTCGGAGATTTCGTTCAAAACCGAAACTATATGGGCTCTGGAGAGTCGGTAATATACTAATCAGTTTTGATCATCTAAGAAAAGCGGCAATGACCGCAGAATTCTTCCGCCGACAGTAATTTTCAGCCAATTCGCATACCTCGACCATCCGACTAATCTGTCCGCGAAATCGAGCTTTTGTGCGTATTTGCGTTTAAGAAACAGCTCCCAGTCGTCTGCTCGGTCAACAACTCAGGCTGCACGAAAATTACGAAAATTAAGCAAGCGCTTCTTGAGCCAAGGATCATGTTAACCCGTCGGCACTTCACTAAGCCGCTGATACTCGTATTTCAATTCAGGTTTTGTCGCAATCGAGAAGTCATTTTGACGAGCGGGTATGTATTATATTACGTACTATGGGGGTACCACTGAAGCGGTATTAGTATATTCTTCGGGTTGAATTATGAGCTTAGTCTAGCTATTAGGTGAACTGCTGAATAAAAATATATTTGACAGGCAGAGAGATACTACTTAAACTTAGCCGAATAGTTCTAACCGGCAGCACGGAGACAAACTGAAGAGAGTCTTCACTGGAGTTCACGCAGAACCTCTCCGCATTGAACTTTGCTTCGGATCCTGAACGGAGAAAATAAGTATTTTTTGTGGCCGGTTAACCTGAGCAATGTAGACATATATTGCTGCTGGCTTCGACGGGGGATATAATATTTATATTGGAGGCTTGGTAGATCAAAATGCTGTAACAGCTTCTAACGTTGAGAGACGCGTCCCCCACCTTTTGAAAACAGAAAATTTCCGTCATTCATCATTTTCGGCGAGAAGGTTTTCCTGAATCAAGTAATGACGAAATAAGCCCAACTCCTTCAGTGTGGTCCAGAGGCTTTTTCGACTAAAAGCAGCCAAGATGAATAGCCAACGCACCGACCGGCGTGGGTGGCTCAAACTTGAAGCTAATCGAACACAACCAAACTCAAGAAAAGCAGCTATCGAACCTTCCCATTCACTTGACTGCAACATTGGTGTTCCCTCCAGTGAAAGGCCTCGTCTGTCGTCCTCCCACTGTTCTACATCCTTAGAAAGAAGCCCCTTATCAGTTACCAAGTAGTCGTCACTTTGAATGTGATTTGAGACAGAAAAGAAATCAAAACGTTTTTCCGCGATTCTTCCCCATCCAAGAAATCGAAAGCACGCGACCGTGTGTTGTGGAGTGAACGGGCTTTCAAACACTTGATGGAGAAAACAATGTACTGAGGCTTCACCACACTAATGAACACTTAGGCAAACTTGAGAAATTTTCGGACCTTCGTCAAATTACGTTGTTCGCCAGCACGCCGACAACACGTGTCCGCGAAAGCCACCAGAGACGCGGAGGGGCGCGGAGCGACCTGGACCGGCTGGTTCCCGGTTTTCCCGCTTGGTGGCGTCCGTTTTGCTGGAGTCGCGAATAAGTAGTTTTTGGTCTAAACCGAAAAGATCACTATTTTAGAGCGGGAAGAGTAGGGGCAGGGGAGGGAGGAGGTAAGTCTACCCTTTGTTCGGCTGCTATGTTATGCTCCTGCGGTGTCCAACAATCAACCCAAGATAGCTTGTCCGGATATAGGCTTATCACTGGAATTGCCTTTTGTAAAGCCGTTCCATTCAACAAACCTTTTTTCTCTCCTAGAAGAATTATGGAGAAATTGACAATACGGACAAACAAGGCAGGAATTCGTTTTCTTTTGTTTCGCCTTCAGCGGGTGAGGTGCGAAAAGGGGGGCACCCCTGCATTTGGTCTTATGTCACCAGTTATTTCTGCCCTTTCCAGTTAATTTTTCGCATTCTATCATAAAGGAAGGAAGGTCCAGGAGAGGACATAACGCCGCAGATGTGAAGCGGAGGGAGGGGGGAGAACTTCCGGTTTTAGAGGACACGCCCCTATTGGTGACTCACTTGTGTGTCGCGTCGTCGTATGCCAACCAGTGTTGGTGCAAACTAACTCGTCACTTCCCTGAAATGGCTGTGTACTTGCGAAGTAACCGCGGTGGGCTGAAACTTCTGCACGAAGGCTTCGAGTATGACAAGGAACGTTGCTTCAAAGAAAAGGTGAGCCTTTCACTGAGTTTGCGATTCAAATGCGATCTTTTTTTAATAGTACGAAGATTGTTACGCCGACTCTTCCTGTCTTTAGCTAAGTTATAATTTATAAAAACGCCTATTCCTCGCAGACATACTGGCAATGTAGCCGGAAACTGGAGTGTAAAGCAAGGGCTCACACTATTGACGAAGAAGTTGTCAAGCTGATCAACGAACACAGCCATGCTCCCAGCCGACTGGACCAAGAGGCCAAGTTGGCGTACTCATCAATGAAGGAAAGAGCACGGACGACTGAGGAACCCAATCAAGCCATCGTCGGACACCTGGTGGCCGAGATGACACCGGAAGCTTGCAGTTACTTACCGCCTCAGGACACTGTTAAGAGAACATTAAGGTAAGTGTTATACACGAATGTTACGAATTAACATCTTTGCTACCTTAGCAAAATATATGCCACCTCATATGCTATGGAGATGTCCAGTTTATCATCGGGCTAGCCTAAACATTTTTAAAATTGAAAATATAGTAAAATAATAATGAGTAACCGCCCTATAGTTGAAACGTGACAGCAATAATATTTCCAACTTTTTTGCATGCAGGAGGGCGCGGGCGATGGAGCAACGGCCGATGCCTCTCCCTTCACGCTTAGAAGACGTCGTCATCCCTGCGCAGTACGCGTCGAAGATTGACGGGTCCAGATTCCTGTTGCATGACTCCGGTGTGCAAGACCAGGACCGTTTCCTTATCTTCTGCAGCCCGCAGATGGTTGATGTTCTCCGAACATCTAAGAAGTGGTTCGCCGACGGGACGTTCAAGGTTGCGCCTGAGTTGTTTTACCAGGTTTACAGTCTACACTGCGAAGTGGGCGGCTCCATCCTGCCTGCGGCATACATTTTGCTAACGCGGAAAGACTGTGGGACGTACACGCGAGCCCTGAACACCCTTAACGCCGAGTGTGGGGGAGATTGCGAGCCAAGGACCGTCACAGTGGATTACGAACTGGCGGCTATCAACGCTTTCAGGGCGGTCTTCCCAAGCGCCGACGTGCGCGGGTGTTTTTTTCACCTGTCGCAATGTGTCTACCGCAGACTTCAGTCGGAAGGACTACAGGAGCTGTATGCTTTTGACCCCGACATAAACCTGGAAGCTCGCATGATCCCAGCTCTTGCAATTGTGCCCCAGGACGACGTGGAGGGGGCATTCACCGAGCTTGCGTCCAGCATCCGCGCAGAACTTCTCCCGGTGGTCGACTACTTCGAGGATGTGTTTATTGGGCGGCTAACGGCACGGGGCAGAAGAGATGCGCAGTTTCCAATTAAGCTATGGAACCACCACGACACCGTTCTCCAGGGCGGCTCCAAGACCACGAACTCAGTGGAAGCCTGGCACCGGAGCTTCCAAGCTCATGTTCAGTGCTCGCACCCAACTCTCTGGAGATTCTTGGAGGTGCTACAACGAGAAGACGCCCTGCAACTTCACCGGCTTGGAAGACTCGAGATGGGCCAGCGCTTCAAGCAGGCCTCGAAATACGCGAAGGCTGCAGAACGGTTAAAGACACTTGCTAGAGAATACGACGCTAGTGATGTGCGACGCTTCCTTAGGGGAGTTGCCCGCAACGTGTCGTTCTAGGTCCCGGGCCATGTGCCTTTTGTAAATAAAAGTGGTCCACATTACATTTTGTGTACTATTTTGCTTCTGAATGCATTTGGCTTCGGACTTTTGCTTGATAATGAAACCCACGACTAACCTATGATGTGTATCTTTACCTGTTTCTATAGTATTCAGAAGGCCTATAATCTCGAGCTACTTTCCAGAAAGAGCATTCCATCAGGAATAAAGTCAGACAAGCGAATAAGTTTGTGTTTAGCTATACACCTGCTAGCTAGGAAAATATCCTCGTAGTGTGAAAGAGGAAAGTAATTTAACTTGTTTAAGGTATGTATGTCTTAATAACGAGCAGAATCAACCGTGTTTGAATTGGGACAAGCTTTATGTCTTAATGAATACAACTGTTATATTTTATGCGTGAACATAAAATGTCCGAATAACTGCAAGTAAGTTCAACTTCCCGAACTTCAAATTTACACCGAAATTTCCGTGCACCGAAGCGACCGTACACCGAAAAGTCCGTACACCGAAATATCCGTGCACCGAAATTTCCGTGCACCGAAATGTCCGCACCGAAACGTCCTACACCGAAATGTCCTACACCGAAATGTCCGGATCCCAACAACGTGCTGCTTGAGGCGTCTCCGACTGCGCATGTGCGAACATGCGCAGCAGACATTGGAAAGCTCTCCAATGTCTGCTGTATAAATCTTTAGTTTTATTTTAATTTTGCCCCTCCTCCCCCCCCCCCCCCCCCCCCCCTTAAAAAAAAAGAAATGGAAACTTGTTTTAACAACTCAGTTGTTTCCATGACTTCGTAGTTTATGCGCCACGGCCTCAAGACCTCAAAGAAGCGCACAAAGGCAACTCATTTTCCGAGACGTCCAATTATAGCGCACGGCCTCACTTTTATTCCCTTTGTGACTTGCGCTTTGGCTGGAGTTGCGGATATTCGGCAGTGCATCGGGATCTTTCAATCACTTAGTGATCGTAACAAAACTCTCGTTTTTTTTTTTTTTTTTTTTTTTTTTTTAAGGAAGAGATAACTAAAGAAAAGGAATACCAGACTGAGGGCCAGTAACGCTGTGGAAATAGTTAAGAGGAGGGAAGACACCGAAATCCCAATTCCAGTTGATGTTTTCAGACAGTCCGCCGACCGGCGGCCGATGATAGTCTTCCTGGGGAAAATCTAATAACAACAACAGGAAGCTCGTTCAAACGTCTGTCTAGACCGGTGACGTGGGCCCTGTGTCACTGTCTTCTCTCGCTTTTTTACGCGGCCTTTTTTTTCTAACGAAAAAAATTCATTCGTCCCGACATCCCGTGTATTTTGGTCCCTTCTAAATCACGGCGCACCGAAGGGTCTGCTTTTGAAGACAAGCAGCGTAAGCGCCTCCAACGTTTAACGAGTTTCAAATCGGAAAATACAAGATGAAAAGAAAGTGTCTCCGGAGTATTTTGAGCGAGACGACGAAGGGACAACCGCCTCCAACCTCATACCGACAGACTCTCGCTTTGACTGACTGACGTTCGTGACGCAGTGCATCGTTAAGGCTAAACATATTTTAACTTTCCTTCTTCTTTTTTTTTTTTTTTTTTTTACAAGCGTTTTATCAACGGCAAAGAGGCTCAGGAAGCTAGGGTATACCAACAAAACACTTTAAAGGTAATTTTTCTTGAAAAACAAAATTCAAATTACGTTTAAAAATCCAACCAGCCAAAACGCGCGCACACAACACACACAAAAAAAGTTAATTTTTTTTTTTTTTTATCTGAGCATCTTAATGTTTGTTGGTATGACAAGTGGCGCTGAACTCTGGCAGACCAAGGTCACGCTGTCTGAAAATATAATTACAATTTGTGTTTCGTAATTCAAACAATTGGTACGCAAAATTTTCGGCAAAGAAAAGCGCGAAGCAGTAAATGTCAGCGTTACTTGACATATTTTTTTTTTACTCAGAATTGCATTAGTAATTAATATAGGCTTGCATAGATAAAAGGATGGATCGATGTGGATAGATGGACATGGCTGAAACCTTTTAGTCGGGCGGCTGCTTGCTCCACCCAACCAAAGTTTTTAGTATCAACCATTTACTCCGATTAAAAAAGAAAGCAGCATAATGCTTAATTTTTGCACAGTATATTTAAAAATTCAAAACTAAGGGACCACGGTAAAAAAAAAAAAAAAATAGTCCGATATTGCCGCTAAGCACGAGCGTATTCATGTACCATATTTTCCCTTCGTAACGAGCGTCATCTGGCGGTGCACTATAGAAGCCGCGAGCGTGTGAGCACGTGTCCGAATACGACGACGCGGCTCGGAAATCTTCGCGTATAGGTATCAACGAGGGAAGCAGTTCCGCCTCTTTAAATTCAGCGTAAGCGCGCCTTCAACTTTAGGCTATACGAAATATTTCGACAGCCCGGAGGGGAGCTTTGTTCGCCAGTGACCATCGATGTCATACCAAAAATCGACAAGTTCTTGTTTTGTTTTTGCGCTACGCGGTTCATTTGTTTCGGAGCTTGGCACGACGCTTAAGTGTCTGGGTAGAGACGCAGAGATAGCTTCGCCAGAGCTGCGGGCGCGCGTTCGCAGACAAACAGCGTCATCCTTTATTAATGATCATTATACGAGGCTGCACGTGGGCACGAAGCCATAGCTAACCTTGAAGCTGAGGTCGCACTTTTCATACACCGTGCAAAAGACAGTCTGCAGACAGGTCACACATATGCACGAAGCAAAACATGCTTGGAACACACTTGAGACCTGTCAGCAGAGAATTCTGTCGTCGTGACCCCAGCAAAACAGTGTTTTGTTTTGTTTTTGTGTGATGTATAAGCGGTGTGTCTGAAAAAGTATAGACTCACGAGAATTGTATTTTTGTTTGTTTATAGTGATATAACGGCGTATTTAGTCTATAGTGTGTCCATTATAGGCATTCGCCTTTGGCGCAATGATGACCACTCGAACGTTTTATCTTTCCATTGCTTTTCTTTCTTCTATTTTCGTTCGTTCGTTTTTTTACTTTGAAAATGAGACTATAATTGCGACGTTTTCGGGAACAACTTTTCTTGGCATTTCTAGGAAGAGGAAGAGAAAGAGCGCGCTCACACACACTTTTAATCGTCGCTCCAAACGGGAGAGGACACGGTTGCCCGCACCTTTGACAACATTGCCAAAAACGTTGACCCCGAGTGTGGGGAGCGCAAGTTCGTCTGCTTCTCATTGGACAGGGGCTGCGGTGATGTCAGAATGCCGAGCCCTTATTGACCCCCCCAATCGAAAAAATAAAATAATAACGGGTAGACCTCGAGGCATCTATTATTGAGGTCACCCACTATTCTTTCAGTTAAAGCCGATCGGAACTCGGCGTCTTTCTGACGTCACCGAGACTCCTGCGCAGCTAGCAGACGACTTGCTCTCCGCGTATCTCTGCACTTGTGCGGAGTTCAGAAGGTTGTCTCTTCGGCACGCGCTGGCAGTGCTGAATACAACACAGTTCGTGCTCAGCCCTTAGGCTGACAGATGCACTCGAGAGCCTGTTGAATAGCCCGTCTTCTATTTGAAACTTCAAAAATTGGCTAGCTATGGGCTCCTCACTTTCATATAGCCACACGTGTTGTTCACGTAATGTTCCCATCAAAGAGTGCTCCATCCAAGCTTGCTTGGCTTTGCGCGCGTTACTTTCTCGGATGCATCAGTGAAAAACGTCCTTTGGGTGTGAGATTTAAAAGAAAAGTTCACCAGAGGGCTATTTTTTTTTCGAATCCATCGACAAATTTATAATTGTTGTCCTTCAAAATTACCCGGATTCCGCTCTATAATGCCATCGTTGCAGTTATTAGGAGTTTTCGTGGACCGGCGCTGCCCCCTCCGCTAAGCGTTCCGCGACGAAGAAGTTGCTACTGCGTTTGCGCGCCGATAGCCTTGGCTGTGGAGTTCCCGCTATCGTAACGGGTTGCGGAGGGCCTTGCGGGACGTCGAAAACGATCTACGAAAACTCTTTATTAACTCGCATGGCCCGTTGAGCCGGCTCTTATATGCCATAGTCATGTTCGTTCAAAGGTTTCAACATCCCGCTGATGTCATGACCTTTCTTTTTTAGAGCAGTTGATCGACGCTACTAAGGTTTTGAACCACTCCTTGACTCGCGTCATGTGCAATCTGTCATGAAACGATTGCGCTCACCTACATGCTTGCGACCTTACTCACCCCTCGTTTGCAATATGGCCAACTTACGTAACAAATTAGTATGAAGTTTGCTCACACCGGCTCACTTCGATCGGCACAGTACTACCGAAATGTAAGTAAGCCACTTAATATTATTACTTAAGTGGTTTCTATTGGAATCCAGAGATGCACACACATCAACTTACAGTTGTTACGGGATGTGGTACTTTAATTTGGTTTTGTTTCGAAAATGATTTAGGTATCTTCTCTCTCTCTCTCTCTTTTTTTTGTCTCTCTCAGTATTTGTGTAAAACTAGTCGGTCCGTTTTTTATTGTTGTTTTTTTGCCCCCAGAGAAATATTGATGTTGTTCAGTGCCCGACTACAGTTCATGCGTCTACCACAACAAGCGAGATTGGGTACCGCGTGTCTCGCGTACTAGGAAGAAAATATGCGAATTACAAGAGAAAGAATTCTACCTTTCAATAAGAAAGCGCATTCATTTCCTGGCTTCGCCTTACGATATACAAATATAACTCGTTGGAAATACAAAAAGGGAAAAAAAAAGAAGAGAGGCGAGCTGGTAAACTTTCCATCTCGAGTTAACGTTATTATACCACTCGTACCTATATCTGCGTTGCACCGATAGCGCCAAGACGTATGGAAAAGGCAGCAATAAAAATGTTAAAGAAAGTTTTTATTTTGTAAAAAAAGAAAAAAAAATAGTGTGGTAAATAAAAACGAACGACACAGATCAATACAGCTACCAAATTTTCATGTAACCCCAAAAATGCGATTTTTTTCCTTTTTTTTTTTGCGCGCGAATAAGGTTTGTGCGTTTACTTTCTTGTAGGGTTCGCGAAGATTGAAGATTTAGAAACGAGGCCGGTTGTATACCCAGGATTAGATTACGCTTGTACCCTCGAAATATACCTCAGTTAGGGCAGTATGTTATAGGTAAGCATCCTCACGAGACAACGCTGAGATTGTGCTGTCATGTCCAAACGTAATTCTACGTTTTCTTCTCGTAAGTAAATAGGATTGGCTTTCCCGTGCCCCATATAGGAAAGCATACGCGCATAGAAGACACCTTTATCCACATCAAGGTTTACGATGATTTGCTTTTTTTTTTTTCTTTTCTCTCTCTCTTCAGATGAAGTTTATTTTGACTGCACTTCTTATGCGCATTGGGCGAATAGCGCTACACCAGGCTGTAATCCAACGTTAATAAGGCTTGCAACTCAGACATCGGGAAAGCCCTCTACCAAATACCTTCTATCACTGCATGACAGCTTATAGTGTTCCTGCTTCGTGGTTCCCGCTTCTTAGTTCAGCTAATGCCTCAACCCTAATGGCTGCGGAGCTTCAATAAGATGCACGGGGCTTGCCACGTTCTGCGTGGGTATACGACGTTGGCGACCCTTGCGCAGGTGGCACGCGTTCT